ATAGATGAAAATCTGTCATTGCACAGCTCCCTGTGTGTGATCTGCCAGAAACACATGGCAATGGTGCCGAGGGTTTGCCTGCCGAGTGCAGCCCTGCCCTCGCTGCAATTCAGGACATGCTGAAGGTAACACTTTAGTACCGTAGGAGTCTGAAATGCAAGGAATCGTGAAACTGTTGGCCTGTTGGTCTGTGTGCCAAGCTCTCCTGCAGCGTCATCGAATTTCTGAAGCCACAGGTTCTCCTGTAATAAGTGTGCTCATTATGAGCCCATGGAAAAGCTGTTACCATGTTAACCTGTTGGGCTGTTCCTCGGGTTCTGCTTCGCATCTGACCCCAGAGACCAAGCTGGCATGGACTTTTCACATTGGTGAACAGTTGCTGCAGAAGGCTGTTGCTTATCCTACAGAAGAAAGAAAAAAAAAAAAAAGTTTAGCAGTTTTACAGTAATCCAGTGGAAAATGGACTTAAAAAAATAATAGTGGGTAGGGGATTTTGCTTGTTTCCCATTGTTTTGTTTTGGCTATGAAGTATTCTAGAAAAGTGCCTGCATGACAGGGGATGACAATGCCAAGAGAAAAGCCCTTCAGGAGAAATGGTCCCCTCCCTTCTCCCTAGGAAATGCTAGAATTAACAAAAAAAAACCCAAAACAAACCCCAAACCCACAACCCTGCAGCCTCCATACATGTACAAATAGCTATGGAGATGTCTGGAATGTAGTATTTAGGGTAATTTTTTCAAGTGGCAAATGAGCGTGATGAAAGGTGCTTTTGAGACAGTTTCTTTTCTTTTTTCTCTAAATGCGTGTGAGTAAAATCTGATTTCCTGGTGAGCCAGCGCTAACGTTTGATACGGAGTCAAGTCCCCTGGCATTCTGAGAAGAAAAGCTAATGTATTTGAAATGGTCTGTGTGTTTGTAGGTGGTGGCAGGGTCACCGCAAAATTAGCCACACAGGAAATGTCTTAGAGTCACCTGGCAAGTTACTTTAATCAGATAAGTGCAGTCATACCTGTATGGGCTCTTCCCACCATGTTACCACTGCTTGAGCTGCTCTGACTCGCTAAAACTCAGAGCAGATTCAGATGGCTTGTCTGAAGCCTGATGAGGTTGGGATTGAGGGAAATGAGATGGACTTGTATCTCACAGGTGAAGTACTGTGGTGGGGCTCTCTAGGTCCAGTGGCTGTTGGGATGTGTTGCTGCTGCAGCAAATCCATCTTAGCAAGCTTGGTGCTTGACTGATTTAAAACTTCATGGTCTCTGTACTAGAGCTAATTTCTGTACCAGGGCTATTGAGTCTGGTGTGAAACAAGTGTGTTGTAAAGCATGAGGGATTATGTCTTTTTGGGACTAGGAAACAATAGTAATATAATTACCTTTTTTTGACAGATGCTTAATACATTGGTGTGGACACTTTTTTGTTTTATTCAGTGCAGACTATGGGATCTGGAGGAGGGGTCTGGATTTGCCCTGATTTCACCATAATTATTTAGCCTTAAGGTAGAAATGCAAAGAGAGGTGCAATAATTACTAAGGATAATAGCTTTGGGGATGTTGCAGGGAGTTGTTTTGTAAACAATTTGTGGCATGAAATCACAAATGCACATGCTTTCCTGGTGGCAAAGGACATGGGCGCTTTCTGTGCATCGGGAGTTCTTGGCCTGCAAAAGACCTGCAGCCAGGATTGTAACATCTGCCCTCAGCCAGGGGATGGGCTTGAAATGACCATGGCATAAAAACATCCATGCAAAAAGATGCAGCTCCACCTGGCATCTGCACTGAAAGGTCCCTGACAAGGTAATGTGAGTACATCCTCCACACTCTTTTCTTGATGACTTGTGGGAACTTGTCTGAAGTTTTAAGCCAAACGTACCAGGTTCTGAATATAAAAGTATTCACCTACTTCCTGCTTTCTGATCCTTTTCCTTCTTTTCCTTTCTTTGGGGTTCCTGTGCACTTTATAGTGCAGGTACTATTAACTGTAGGCTAGTTAGGCTAAAATTCTGGCACAACTACATGTCAGCCACAGAATCACAGAATGCTGGGGGTTGGAAGGGACCTCCAAAGATCATCTAATCAGTCCTAATGTCTTATTAAAGTACTATTTTTTTTTTTTTACACTTATTAAGGTGTAAATAATACTTCAGTCCTGCCCTCTTTAGCATCACTCCTTTAACCTTACCCCTACCAGCTTTGCTAGTTGCTTTGGGATTCTGAAGTTAGCTACACAATCCCCTTCCAGCAGCCATTTGGGAGCCCATTCCCCTCTGTATTTGTACTTACTGCTGAATCCTGTAGTCTTGCCACCTTGTTGAGTGTGGATGTAGAGCCTACCTTTGGGTTACTTACCTGGCTGTCTCCCAGGGAGTCCTGTGGGCTTTTCAGCAAGATACCTTGGTTTCCATACTGTACTTGCCTGTGTTGTGCGTAGAGCCCAGGACTGCAGCTTCATTGCCTTGTTTGCCATTCCCCTGTCAGCAGAGCAAACCACTTTATTGCCATGTTTCAGGTTCCTGCTCTGTGAGATGAAAATTGCAGCAGACCTCCCTTACAAAGTGCTTTGGGGGCCCCCAATGGAAAGTGCCATGCGGAGCTGGGCGCTGCTACTTACCTGCACTGTGTCATTGCCAGTGTAGCTGGGATGGGAGCTGCAGTCTGGGATGAACCCCTACTCCTCTGTAGCACCTGGCATCTCTCTGTAACCTTTGTGGCAATGCACTGCAGGCGTTCGAGAATAACCCCTGGAAGCAGCACCTTTGCAGTGACTGTGTACACTGGAATGCAGTGCTGGCTGTGCCCTGGGCAAGCAGACTGAGTGCTGCTGCTAAGGCAGAAATTCCCAACAGCTGGGGAAGGGTTTGACATAAATACCAAGACATTGACGTTTGCATTTTTTTTGTTTGCTGGACACATTCATGATTCTGTTAGAAAAGGCCTGTTCTTGAAATTGTGAATTTTTTTTTTTCCTTTGAAAACGGCCTTGTGCTAAAGCAATTAAATAATGTTTATGTCAGATAATTAATTCCAAGGGAAGGATGAAATTGCTGAAAGGCAAAATAACAGAGTGAAAACCGTCTGCAGGTTTTTGAGGCATTTCTTATTGGAAAGGGAGGACTTATTACCAAGATTAGCTTTTCAGAGGTTTTAAAGTAGGGTTCAATAGCTATAAAGGCTGGATTGTTTGGCACTAGCATCTCAGCTTGTAGCTCTAAATGTCTGCTTGCAGTTAATGTAGGTGCAGTGAACATATGTGTGCAAAAGAATTTATGGAAAAAAACAGTGCAAGTGCCGTAAAAAGTGTATTGCAGAAGACTGTAAGCATAGTTAAGTGAAAAAAAAATATTGATACCCACTTCTGAAAAATGGGAGAACTCTAAAACAACAATGAAGAAGTTCTGAATGATCACCTGATATGATGTTGTCTCTGGATTTTCCTCTTATGCGTATACCTCTCTCATTGTCCTATACAGCACCCGTACTGTGCCAAAGACAGCACCACGGCCTAGTGCTGATCAGTATGTACAACAGAGGCACTTTTTTCCTCGGTGAAAGCAAGAATTATTATCCCTTTCCACCCTTAGGAAGCCCAGGCAATAGCAACCCCAAGAGGGCAGAGAAACTAAGCCAAGAAGCATTCTCAGAGCTCCTCAAAGAGGGGATGTTTTTCTGATTTCCAGATTGACTTCTGCCGTATCAACAAATGTTTGCTTGCAAGGTCACCTCTGATAGGGGAATTGTGTTCTTAGTGTTTCTTAGCTTGTAGCAGTCTCACTGGGAAGTTGCTCAGACATCTTGGTACGGACCAGGAAAGCCTGTAGAACTCGGCTGGAGTGCCGTCAGGTGCGATGAGCTGTCTGCATCCAGCCTGCCTGCATGCAAGTGTGGGATTCAGCTGGGGTTCAAGGTATGCCAGTGTCTGGGGAAGGCTGCTCTTTTGTCCCCGTGTATTGGTGGTCCCCAAGCATTATTCCAGATCCTTCTGCTCCCTTTTTTCTTCAGGGGGAGCTGCCTGGACTAAGATAGCTTTTGAGTCTAAAAGTAAATCAGGTGCTAAGTAACTGCATTGAGGAGTTGTAGATAAGCTAATGAAATTCCTTGAGCAATAGGAATTCAAATTCCTTTTTAAAAATGCCAAGTAGAATTAGCAGTGTACTCAGTACAGCAACAAAAAGCACTCCATTTCCAACTCAGAGGGGAAGAATTGGAAGAATTAACATAACACTTGAATTAAGGTAAATAATTACTGAATTGATTTAAAGTTATACAGGAATAAGACTTCAGTTCAAAATGCAGTTTGCTTCACAGAACATGCCTCAGTAGTTATGTGCGCAGAGCCATGAAAGTGCTGGGGGCCTGGGTGCTGGAGAAGACTGTGTGTGGTTTCATGGAAGGGCAGCAAGGAAGCTCTGCTAGTGCATCTCGGCTCTTCTGGACCAGGCACTACAAGGGACGGGCTAGCTCTGATGTAGACGTGCAAGACCCGGGCAGGGACTCCTGCCTTTTGACACGGCCTCTGCCACCCGCTCCTGCTGCGGCCTTGGCTACAACATTGACTCTCCTAACTCAGCTTTGCAATTTGTAAACTAGCATTAATAGCGGCCACCACTGGAGTTGTTTAAAGCCTTCCCTGTGTTACAATGCTTTTCACTTCCACGCTGCTCCAGTAGTGCTCAGTATTAGTTATTACATGATGTTTTCTTAGCTTGCTGTTCAGAAAAGCAGCTGCCTTCCGCGGGCTTTTGTAAGCTACTATTATGCTGGGTGGTATTATGTACACTACTGTACTTCTGGCATCTGGGTCTATCATTTAGATTAATTTGGAAATTGTGTAGTGACTTGAGGAAAACTGCTGTTGAATTGGAGTTTGTTAGCCTGGAAAATATAATTAATCTGAAAACCCCTGTAATTGTGTAATAAATGCAATACTGAATGGTCTTGCATATAAACCAAAGTACTGGAATATAACTTTTGATACCTTTTCCTTTTTTTTTTTCTCTCCAGTATGGGGTACTGCATCCTTTTTGTCCACGGTCTAAAAAAGCTGTCTACATGGTTAAATAAGTGGAGAATTACTGTTCTGACCCTCTTTGCTTTACTGCTGCTGCTCTTCTCTTGGAAGACCGTGAAACAGAATGAAATCTGGCTGTCACGAGAATCCCTTTTCAGGTATGAGTGACCACAGGAGAATACTTGCATTTTTGTATTGTTTAAAATAAGTTTGTTGCGTGGAATAGTTTTCTTTAGTGCAAGTCCTGCTATTGATGCATTGCTGTGATTAACATTTTGATTATTATAAAATAACACCTACTTTCTGTTTTCTGGCAACTGTGCAAAACCTGCTGTCAGCACTTTATATGCTTATGCAGAAACTTTGGTTCTGGCAATCACATTTTTAAGGCACACTGTTTTAAAATAACTTCAGTTCTGTAGATTTACCAATAATGTAACACTTTCTTTTATTCAAAGACATAGCAAAAGTTGGTTGCAACCCTCCAGAACGCCATAGTAACGCTATTGAATATATTGAATTTTCTTTAGCGATGTTCTTAATGACAAAAATGAAATGCCACCAAGTGCCAAACTTAATGTGCCATATTTCATTTTATTTGATTACTCTTTGCCAAACAGCTCTCTTTACAGCCTCATTTATATATTTTTTTGCACTGAAACAGACTGTTTCATTTTGTGTTTTGCTAGCAAATGTATTGCATTTGCCTCCAGCTGCTTTCAGCAGTTGTCTAATTGTGAAGTAATTGCAGAAACGCAGGTGATCTGTGCACGGGTTGCTTAGCTTTATTTTCTAACTTATTGGCCAGAGCAAAGTTTAATTTACGCATCACTGAAGAGTATGAAATTATTTTTTATGTGTATGCTTTGGTCTTCAGGAAACGCTACTGAAGTGGTTGGGGGTCTGTTATTGAGATTTTTTTAAAAAAAAATCTGGAATTAGGGTTTTTTTGCTCTGATGTGATTCATTGCCCATCTCCCTGAAAAGCTGTTTGCTGTTCAAACAATAGCAACCATGGTGACCAGTCTGGGCTCGTGCAGTGATCCCCATGAAGCACACCTCCAGTCCAAACCCTTCTGGCTAACGGTGGCTGCTCAGAGGAAAGCCAGATGCTTTTCCAAGTTGGACGACTCTGTTGTTGAAAGCGGGGTGGGAAGACAGCAGTTCCATATGCTGAGTTGCAGGCATCATCCAGTGTCGTGTTGTGTACAGTTGTAGTCACCTGTGTTTATGAACAATGAAGTGGATGGAACTGGAGCAGATGACAGGAGGACCTCTCCTCCTACAATAGAGCACTCTTGGGATGATACAGGGTGCCAGGGGGTCTGTTGCAGAAGGGAAGGATAATTTGTTTAGTTGGATGCAAATGAACTTCTGTCCATCCTACCTCCATTCAAAGTAGGGTGACCATGTACAAGTCAGCTCAAATTCGGAAATCTTGCCACTGCTTCAGTGCAGCACTGAGCTAGAGCTAATACACCTTGCCTCAAAGTAGGGATTTGGTGTTGCCCAGAGTAGTATGAGGGCTTGGTGCCTTGGCTCGAGCTGGGTTGCTCTTTGGCTCAGGTCTTTTGGGGGCAATTCCAGAAGAGAGATCAGCCCTGGGCTTTTGAGGAGAGGGCAAGAATGTAGGTATGTTCCTGCTGGGTCACCTCGTGTCATGTCCTGCCCCTGTGAGCCAGCAGCAGCAGATGCCTGGGAAAGCAATGTAAGAACAGGGCCAGCCACAGTGATGCTTGTCTCCAGTCCTTTCCCAGCTTGCGGTGATCTGCAGTTTAAAGACTTCCTGAGTCAGGAGTTACTTGCTTTTTTGCTTTTAACAGCCACTGATGGACTTTTCTTCCATTAATGTCTCTGCTGTTTCGAATCTATTTATAGATTTGGCTTCTACAGCATCCTGTGCACTGGGTTCTGTCATTAAATGACACAGTGTGCACACTAAGATTTCCTTTCTGTGTGCTGTAAGCCTTCTGCCTGATCATCTTGTTTGGTGTACCCTAGTTCTGGTGTGCTGAACGAGGAGTGAGTAACCATCAGCTTGTTACTTGTCCTCTGCCTTCCATGCTTTTACTCCCATGCCATCGCCCAAAGCTGTCTGTTTTTCACAATGGAGTCTGCTGGTTTTGAACTCTCCTCATGTGGAAGCTGTTCTGCATTTCTGATCCTGCTTGTCAGCCTTTGCTGGATGCTTTCAAACTCTTAATTTGTCCTTTAGAGAAGGAGACCGGAATCACCTTTCAAGAGATTTGTGCAGCACAGTACTGTAGAACTGCTTTCTGATTTTTGTTCGCTTCTCCTCTTAATTCCTGATCTTCCACTGGTCTTTTGTGACCTGTCCTAATCACCCTCTCCTGGGTGATATTTTCACAGCACTGTCCACACGAACTCCAAGATACCTATTGTGAGTGGAAGTGTTTGATTTGTAGACATCAGTCTGTGTGCAGATTTATGCAGATTTAGAGTATGTGTGTACACACACTCTGATACTAGTGCCTGTACCAGAATTGCATTTCATCTGCCATGTTCTTGCCCAGTCTTCAATACCATGAGATCCTGCTGCAACAATTCGTAGTTAGCTTTAATTCCTGCAGTGTCATTCACATTGGTGTCGTCAGCAAACATGTTGCCTCCCTGTTTCAAGATCCTTTGTGAACACATGAAGCAGCTCAGATGCCACTGCATGTGTCTTGGGAACCCTGCTTGTAGTCTTCTCCAGTTGTAAAAACTGTTCACGTACTCGTGCTCTTTGCTTGCTGTCTTTCAAATAGTTATTGATTCAGGAGAGGACCTTCCCTCTTACTCCATAATGCCTTTAAGAAATTGGAGGACTTTAGTGAGGGATTTTATCAGAAGCCTTTTTGAACATTTAAGTGCACAACATTGATGTATGTGATTCTGACTGCCTGGGCTATATTTGGATTTTTCATAAAAGCTTTCCATAGTTTCAATACCATGTACCCGTTAAGTCTATCAAAGAACAAGATCTGCCCAACTAACTTTTTTCTGCAAAATACAGGGTTAATTCTTCTCTGTTGTAGTTGTCCAATAATAAAGTTTGCTAGAACTAGTCTTTCTTATGATTTTCCTCAAGTTACCTAGAGTGGAAATCAGACTTGCTGGTCTGTTGCCCCCCAGATCCCTCCCCTGGAGTCAAATAATGCCATGTTCATCACCTCCCATTTCTCTAATGCTAGCCTCATTTAAATGATAGACTGCACACTGCAGGTAATAGCAGCTTCACGTGTAGAATCATAGAATCATTCAAGTTGGAAAAGACCTTTGAGATCATTTGGATGCATACTACCAGGCCCAATGGATCCATAACTGTTCTTGGTGTTGATTTGTTTTAAAGCCTCTTTTACTGCCACTTCAGTTTGAGACGGTGCTTTGGACTTGCCCCTGTAAGGAAAGGCTCCCATGTGGTGACCTCCTTCATTTCCTCTGTAGTGAGAACTGGTGCAGATAATCCCTTTAGCTTTTCTGTCCTGGCCTTTTCTTCTTCAAGCACTACTTTTAGACCTCCATCATCTATTTGCCTTAGGGGATCTTTGGCAGGTTTCCTATATCTGATGTATTCCATTATTAGCTTTGATGGCTTTAGCAAGTTTTTCCTTAAATCTCTTTTGGTCTGCCTAATTATGGCTTATGTTTAACTTGCTGAAGTTTATACTGTTTTCCTTTTTCATTCTGTAGCTGTGATGTTCACTTGTTAAAGGGTGTTTTTCATTTCTCATAGCCTTCTTTCCTATGCTGTTTAACCATATGGGCCTTTTTGTTGTCCTTTTAAGTTCTTCTTTGATAGGTGTTATACATCTCTTGTGAGTCTCTAATACGGTAGGACTCTTCTTGTTGATGGGAAGCAAACGCAAAAGAAGGATAGTATAGCAAGAAGATAATGTCATCCCAGGAGTGGGAGATCTACTCTTGGGGCAGAAGGAGGCAGCTATATATAGGCTGATGAGGAGAGGAGGGAGAACTGAATGGAGGCATGTGCAACAGCAATAAATTAGAAAGGACAGAGCAGGAGGAGGAGATAAGGAACAGTGAAGAAGTATGAGGGAAAATAATAGGGAAACAAAGCAAATTATAGATGTGGGAAAGGTGACATAAATCAACCTACCTGGTAGTCTCTGTGTGTGTGTGTTGAATTTATTTTTTTTAAGAAGTACGTGCCGAGAGAATCTTTACTTCCATTTCTAGTTCTTCATTCTTCTTTCTCCAGTTGCTGCTTTAATTAATTACTGCTTTTTCCTCCCTCTTACTTTTTTTCCCTTCACCTCTACTTTCCATTCCTCCATTTTCTTCAATGTGTTTCTTCAGGGTTGATCTGTCTCGATTCCCTTGACTGAGATCTGTTCTGTTACACATGCTTTCTCTACACTGGTCCAGGAGATGTTTGTATACTCGGCATGTAACCAGTTTTGTGCTTGTACCCCATTTTGTCCAGTTCCCAAGGCTTATGCCGCTTTGATATTGTGCAGCAGCACTGCTGCCGTCTCTGGGCTGTCCTGACTTTCAGTCTCCAGCCCACGGCCCACATTTTCTGGATGCAGAAATCCTATCAGGTCCTGGCTGAAGGAGCAGTGTGGGGGAGGACGATGCTGTCTGAGGAAATGATGCATCTACACATAGGTACACAAGCATATGCGCAAGGACAAAATGAGAAGCAAATGAACCACAAGTATAAGAAGTGTCCAAATCTATAGAGAGCTAGATATTTGAGGCATATTATTCCAACAGATCTCTAGAAGCCCCAGGCAGTTTGTCTTACTGTATAGGCAGGTGGGCAGGGAGGACTTATTTGTTAAATATTTAAGGAAGCACCCTATAGAGTGAATGCACAGGCCAGGAGGTCAGGCTCCACAGGTTTGAACTGCGGTCAGTGTTAATGTCTGAAGCCAGGGAGAGGGAGGTGAGGGCTATTTCCTTTTCCCGTTGCTCCTGGAAAGCATCTGCATGCACTGCCTACGTTTGTGACAGTGCTTGGAAACGCAGTTGTAACCAGCAAAGGAACCATATAAAAGTGGCATGTAGCAGTTCTCTCTCCCAAGCCAGGCCTGCTGACGTCAGTAATTTGCAAAAACCAACTCAGCCCCAAAGATGGCATTTACTGCTGTGTTATTTTGTTAATTCTGAAAGCTAGCTCAGCTGAGGAGAGCAAGCCCTATTGCATTTTGTGCATCTTCTATAGAACAGTTTAATAGGCCTCAACATTGATATCTGTGAAATCAATACAAGGGTAGGAGGCCAAGGAAAGTGGTTGTTTGTGTCATCCAGAGAATAATGTGCTGTAGAGAACCTTTATTGATGATAATGATTCCTAAAGCAGAGGAGACCCCATTGGCCTCCCAGGGCTCCTACTGGGGCAGGAGTGGCCTCCTTTCCTTGTAAACTGAGGACTTTTCATATGGGAATCACAGAAAGATCAATGAAGCTGCTGCCCTGCACCCAGTCACTTTCCAGAGCAGACCATGCATTTAAACAGAGGGCATCACAGGCAACTTTTCCCAACTGAAGTGGGATGTGGGTAATGCTGGTATTTGAGGTTGGAAAATACCAGTGGTATTTTATTTCTCTGACTTACGGCTAATACGCTTTTGCTTTTCCATGGAGAGGAAGTGTTACGTAAAAGGGTTTGCCTATTGTTTATTTTCCATTTATGTCACTTACTGCTGTCGTAGAAGTCCAAAGGGAAGGAATCATCTGGAGAAGCGATGTCCAGTCTTGGTGGGCTTGTTTCTGGCTGGAGCCAGATTGGTGCCATAGGCTTTCAGAAGGGCACGTGTGTGCTGGGCTGAGGAAGAGGGAAATAGGAGAGTTTGGAAAAGCACGTTGGAAAATTAGATTGAAATTGTGATAGACTGGAGGCTTGCGGGAAGCAGAAATGGAAAAACATTGTGTTCTGCTTTGTTATTTATACTCCACCCTTTCCTGCTTGGCTTTCATTATGGACATTATTGTTTCCTCTGTCAATGAGCAAACAGCATTCTTGGCTGGTTGAGAATCAATTTGCAGGAGTGTTTGCCTAAACTCGCCTAAAAAATCCCCTCTTCATCCAGCGCTGCATTTGCTACTACCTCCCACAGCGCAGAGACTCCAAGCAATCTCAGTCATTGCCATGTGCATTTGCAAAATGAAACACCCCCCTTCCCGCCCGTGTGAGGAGAATAAATAGGTCAGGGAGTGCAAACAGTGTGATGCAGAAGAGAGCATCGTAAGAACCCAAATCGATTTCTGTCTTTCCTGTGTCACCTCCACCTCCAGCAGAAGCATGCAGATGAAAGATTTATTAGTGACGTTTTAATAAATAGGACCAGCAGGATTAGTAATAAGTTCTGTTTTAAGGGAAACAGTCCAGAATTAAAATATTTAAACATATGCATCTTGCTGTTAAAACCGTATCTCATTAGAACTGAAGTACTTATGCATACATAATGTACTCCTCACTGTTAACTCAGTTTGCTCTGTTTCAGCAGGGTCTGTAGTAGAGCCAGCAACTCATTGCACGTAGCTCTGAGAGCAGCAGTTTTGAGTGCCTGTCCGTGTCTCTGCCTGTAACGCCAGCGCTGATGTAATGAAACCCTCTCTGTATAAGAATTAATATTCCAGTAATGCCCAGAGGTTGTAAGTATGTAGTTAATAGCTCCCAAGGCCAATGGAAATTAACACAGCCATAGCAGTCACACATTACTTGCTGCTGGTGCAGTATATCTTTGTGAAAACTAATATAGAAAATCATTCTCTTAAGAATAGCATCAATTAACTGATTTAATTCAGCGATTAGTCACAAAATGTCTTATTCCTGTAGTGCTCCCAGTAAGTAATGTGGAAATACCTGATGATTATGAAGCCAAATGCAAGGTGTATTTTTAATTTCAGTAGGCAAACCGTGGCTATGTTGTGCTGAACTCTGTAAGGCAGCTGTGGGCGAAGCTTTGGAAGCTTTCACAAGTAGGCATTAGCGATGCTTGATACCACTGGCTGCAGATAACGAAAAAGATATCATATATTAGTACAATTCTCCAGCACTGTTTTACAATGAAATCCCCAACAAAGGGTTTCTGCAACTGTGGGTGCCTTCCCTCATGGGAGAGGTGTGCACCCTACTGTAAGGGCTGTGTGCGACCCCGTCTCTCGGTCTGTGATTAACTTCTACCCCCACCAAAATTAAACAGGAGAGGCAAGGCAACAAGACTTGTGAATTTCCTAATCCTTGCTTTCCATACCTGAGGTAGGAGGGTCAGAGATGATGGGGGGAGAAAAGAGAGCAGCTGCCAGGAATCTGCTTTTGAGCAAGAAACAGCGCTTTGTCTGGTTTTACATTAACAGATCCATCCATCCTTATTTCCCATTACCTCAGAGACCCCCTATTTATGTGCTGGAAAGGATTCCCCGATTAAACGAAGTACCGACTTCTCTGAATTCTTGCAGGGGAAATGTTTCCATGGTGTACGTGCTCCTGTGCTTTCTTTTTCTCTTTAACCTTGAAACGGCATTTCCTCTAGCTGTGCAAGGTGTACTTTGCTTTCTGTGGTCTCAAGTAAGTAAGCATATGCTAGCTCTTCTCCTTTTGTCTTTGTGCCCTCATTATTAAGTCCAATCTACACGTGGCAGGGGAAACGAAAGGGAGGGATGGGGTGACTGTGTGACCACATGTCCCAAGTCATGTGTTACAATGCCAGAGTGTATGACTTGCCAGCTAGGAGTGAGAATCCCATCAGCCCTCACCTTCTGGCCATACTCTACACAGTCCTGAGCAGTGCATACATGCTGGGTCAGTTCTCAGAGTATGCTATGCATCCCCTTTAGTGGCTGGTGCATATGGAAAAGATACCTTCTTTCTGGTACCTGCAGCTGACAGATTTAAATCAAGATTTTCATAAGGCGCTTCACGACACTCAAGTTTAAGCAGGTAGCCTGTGATGACTATATTACAGAAAGTACTACATACTTTCCCTCTAAATAAATATTAGCCTTTTTAGGGTCTTTCAATTTAATAATTCAGATTTTGAAATATGACAGCATCTGGCCATAGGGAGTGTTGCAGTGTCGGAGCTAGAGCTTCCTGCGGTGACAGTGGCCAGGACAAGTTGAATTGCTGCCACGTATTTGTGTCTGCCCGGGGCGTGTGGTGTACTAGTGCGTGGGGCAAGCTTGAGGTGGTAATGTGAGTTGTGTTGGCAGGAGTGCACAGGAGGTGACAAGGTGCTCAAGATCCGAGCAGACTTTTCAGGAAAAGGGACCGGGAGAAGAAGGTAGACCTTGGGGAAGGTGGGGTAACCTCGCTGCTAACACCGTCCTGCTTCTGTTCCTCTTTGCAGCTCGGGAGTGAAGACCCTTCCCCACAACGCCAAGGTGCACTACAACTATGCCAATTTTCTGAAAGACCAGGGCCGTAACATCGAGGCGATCTACCACTACAAAACTGCTCTCAAGTAAGTCCCTCGAGGGCCTGGTGGGGCTCTAGCTGTGCAGTTCAGCCTGCTGTCAGCCTGGGCTTCCCCGCTGGGCATGAGGTGAGTTGCCTGCTGCTCACCCCCGGCTCCTGGGGGCAGCTTGGCTTTCAGAAGCTGGAAAAGTTCCCTGGGTCAGTGTTTGCATGTCATTAAATGAAGTAGCCTGGCTTCCCTCCAGCTCCACGTGTATGTGTATGTGTGCGTGTGTGTGTGCACACACCAATATGAGACAGAAATGTTACCATAGCTACACATTGAGCAATGAGGTGTCATTTACGCAGCTGAATGTATGCTGGTAAGCAGGAGGTAGTTATCATAAATGCATTTTCAGGTTCCTGGGCCATTTATCTTAGTAAATTGTTAATGGTGCATGCCTGGAAAATGCCAGTGCTGTAGCCATCTGAAGTGCAGTAATAATAATAGTACTTACTACTTGTATTGAGGCTTCTGTCCACAGAGCTTTGCATAAACACTAAACTAATTGATCCTGAAAACGTTCCCGTGCAGTAACAGGGTAAATGTCATTACCGTGGTTCTGAACAGGGCGATGCTGAAGCAGGAGGCTGAAGTGCCTTGCCCATAGGTGGATGGTAAATCTGGGCTCAGGTTTGGGCTGTAATCTGGGACATCTGTGGTATATCCGAAGGACCCTGCTGACCAAGTGTGGATGGGGTCACTCCCTGCGAGCAGCATCCCTCTGCTCGCTGGTCCTGCCAGTGCTGTTAGTGCAGCTCAGCTGGGGTCTCGGCTGCTCCCCACTGCCCAGGCAGCACTTGGTGCAGCAAACAAGTCACCTCAGTTCCCCATACTTCTCCCCTCTGGTCCTGGGGTCTT